TTTTGGACATCATCATGTAGGGTGTACGACCGCACACACTTGTGTACGGCCGCACACACCCTTATGCGGTAGCACACTCCTTGTGTGTGGCAGCACACTCCCGTGTGCGACTACACACTCATCCTAGGGTCGCAAACCCACTTCTAGAACCCTTTACTTGCACTACAATTGAGTATAGGCCTAGAACACTTCATGGATGCAAGTATGGACCTTGAAAACACCTCAAATGCACCTTCCATCATGAGTGTACGGCCGCACACCCATTGGGCTGCACACCTATGGCCGTACACACCTTTAAGGTGGCCATACACCTCCCTCATGCAATCCTTTAAGGTCCTAACACTTAGTGCAAGTAGTTCCAAGTCCCTAGAGTGGTTCTCCATCAAATCTAGTGGTAAAATACCTTCATTTGACTCCTTTATGTGTCATTACGTGTTAATTAGGATCAAATTGTGTTCAAGGCTTCACTTGAACATCCAGCTTTCCGTATCGATCCTTCAATCAAACCACTTACCCGAGGTGAGTTCATACCCCTACGCTTTTACGAGTTTTTCATGTTTTCAGGGGGGAATACAAGCAAAAGCATAAGGAAACTTGTGCTCAAAATATATTATTTTGTTTAAGATAATTATATTTTATGTATGCTTGTAACATGGAAAACAGTTTTTACCAAACGATTAAGAAATCAACTCGTAGAAACAGTTTTCAAAACTAGGGTAACGAACTTGTGAATCATGTGGTAAAATGTATTATTTTAAAAAGGATTCAAGCAAATCATAAAAAGGATTTTCAGTATTATTACTTGTAAATTTGTTAGTCTAAGTTGGAGACACGTCCTTGGTAACACTCCCACAGAATCAGAGTGTAGGACTAGCACTTGTGACCAGAATCTCTTGTAGGGAGAGCGTGACTGTTGTGTATAGATCTATACGGGACTGACAATCCTGCACCTTGCTGCTAGCTACAGTCGGACCGGCAGGTCTACGGGTGACAAAGTCATAAAGGATACCGGCCCCGTTACGTGCCATATCAAGTCAGTTATGGTCATGAAACTCACAATGTAGATAACATAGATTTACTTTTGTAATAATGAATCAAGTGAACTAACCTCAAAGTAATAACCGAATTGATTACTGGAGGGTATTAATAGTACCTTTAGGATTTAGTTCATCACGTTTTCTTTTATTAGTTTTATTTATGTAATAGGGCTAATATACCTCACTGGGAGTAACCAGGGTTTTTTAAAAGAAAACTACGTTTATCGATATAAGTATGGTAGATACTTGTACACCTCAGTTTAGAACGGATAATCAATGATCAACTTTTAGGGAAAATATAGGATTTTCCCGGGAGAACTCGGCTTTTCATAAACGGATTGTTTAACAGGTAACTAACAGATATTCATATTCATTCCACGGCTCCTTGGATTGTACATACCTTGTATGAATCTGGAAGTCATGGAAGGAATGAGTTTTCAAACACGCTTTTCATAAGAAAATATAGGATTTTCTTGAGGAACACTTTTCAAAAGGATCAAAGAACATTTTTCCACCAAAACTAAATGCTTATGAACTCACCAGCTTTATGCTGATATTCTTTCAAAACTGCTTGTATTCTTAGGGAATTAGTTGACAGGTACTTCCAGGAGTTCGGAGAAGTCGGAGTGTTAGAGTCACGTCTTTCCATTTTACTTTTGATATGAACAAAACTATGTATTAAACAATGTAAACCTTTTTCATATATGTATTCAATGTCTGGTTGTGTTTACTATGCTTGCTATGATACAATTGTTGTGATACTACGCATGACATCAACCACCCCCGAACGTTTCCGTCGTTCCGGTTTGGGGGTGTGAAACCGATTTTCTATGGGTTTTTGTGGTGTGTGTGGAAGGCAAGGAACGGAAAGCTCTTTAACAAAATTCGAGCTTCGGCGGTTAAAACAACCGATAATGTCATCACTTTGGCGCATAGTTTGATTAAAAATAGAGGGAATTTTGGTGATTGTTTGTGGGTGGACCGGTGTTGTTCGTCTTTTAACATTTTGTAACCGTTTGTATTGTTTTTAGTTTCTTTTTTCCGTACATTGCTCTTTTTAGGCCGTGGTTTTTATATATTTCCGTTGGTTCCAATAATAAAAAAGTTGAATTAGATATGTATATATCATTAAATATTATCATTGTGAAATCCAATATTATAACTTTAACATAAAATTTAATGATTATTGGATCTTTTAACAAATTTGATTTTATTTATTAAACTTTATAAAATTTAATATATTATTAAAAAAATTGATAAAATTGCGTATAATGAAATATATAATAATGCAATTACTTAAATGATAAATTTAACAAAATAATGAGTTTAATGTTGATTCCTCTAACCTAGAGATATAAATCGGTTCATCGGTCTGGAACCGGAAAAAAATCGATTAAACAATGAAGTTGTTCGTAGTCGGATTCAATTCTACTAAGAAGTTGTTCGTAGTCGGAACCGTCCCAAACCAGATTATAACCGAAATAATTGAAAACTGAAAATGATAGACTGGGAGAACAAAAAACTAGACTGAATACCACTAACCGGTTCAATTTGATTTCGGTTTCTTTTTAGATTATTTCGAGCGGTCAAATGTTTTGAAGATCATTTCGTCATCAATTCCGACAACAATGCCTCATTTATCACCTTGGTGCCCAAAATAAACGACCCACTAATCCTCTTTGATTTTAGGCCGATTAATCTCATCGGATGTATGTACAAAATCATTGCTAAAACGTTGGTTGAGAGATTGAAAAAGGTAATTGGGTCGGTCGTCGGCAATGAACAAACGGCATACATCCAAGGTAGAAATATTCTTGATGGTCCCCTTGTTGTAAATGAAGCTATTCCATGGGACAAAATAAGGAACAAGAAAATGTTGATATTTAAAGGCGATTTTGATAAGACTTTTGACACTCTTAGCTGGTTGTTTCTTCAAAATATGCTTGAACTCATGGGATTCAGTGAAAGGTGGATTAGTTGGATTTGTACTTGTGTTACTTCAACCATTGTCTCAGTACTTGTCAATGGAAGTCCTACCAAAGAATTCAACCCAATATCATCCTTTCTTTTTATTATAGCTTGTGAAGGTCTTAAGATTGCTCTTGAGGATGCTTTAGAGAAGGGGATTTATAATGGATTCAATCTTGGTAAAGAGGGCCCGTGCTTGTCCCTTCTTTAATACGCCGACGATGCCATTTTTATAAGGGAATGGTTGAAACAAAACGCAACTAATCTTATCAAAATCCTTAGATGCTTTTTTTAGCATCTCTCAAAAAGTAAAATGATAGGTGTTAGTGTTAGTGACTTGGAGATTGTTGACATGGCTAATAGCTTAAAATATGGTGTTGGTTCCTTTCCGATGAAATACCTTGGAGTTCCTATTGGAGCTACCATGTCTTGAAAATCTAGTTGGATTCAGTTAATTGACAAGTTCAACAAGAAGCTATCTAATTGGAAAGCTAAAAATCTCTCAGTTGGTAATCGTCTTATCTTATGTAAATCCGTTCCTGGTAGCCTTGGGTCGCACCTTTTCTCCCTTTATAAAGCCCCTACTTTTGTCATAAAGCGTCTTGAAAGCATTAGATGTAACTTCTTTTGGGGAGGTAGTCAAGAGAATAAAAATATTGTGTGGGTTGCGTGGAAAAAAGTGTTAACACGAAACAAAATGGCGGCTTGGTAATCGGAAGCTTGCGGGCCTTTAACTATGCCTTGCTAGTTAAATGGTCGTGGAGATTTAGAACTGAAAGTGGTACCACGTGGTATGGCGTAGTGGCTACCATTCACGGTCAAGAAGGTGGTATTGGACGGACTCCTTCCAACGCTAGGAGGGGGGTTTAGTCACCTACACTTGTCTTTAGACAGTTGTAGATTCATATCAACAATCTTTTTTATGGTCAAGATAGTCAATGGAGATGGATTAGAGATTCTAGTGAAAATTACATAGTGACGTCGTTTAGAAGAATTATAGATGACAACCGGATTAAGCCAAACATGATCAAGACTCTTTGGAACTGTAATTGTCCCGAAAAAGTAAACATCTTAGTGTGGAGAGCAAGGTTACAAAGGCTGCCCACAAAGCTCAACCTAGACAGAATCAGCTTCATCTCTGATCAACGCTTTGCCCGCTTTTTAATAGTAGAGATGAGTCGAAGATACACCTAGTTATGGAGTGCTCAACTGCGATTCAGATTCGCTCCATACTTCACATATGGTGGGAAAAAATTCCAATTGCTTTCATCTCTATCGAAATATTGTCCGAAATATTGTTTCAAATGGACAGCAACACTATTATCCCTTTAAAAATAAAAAAAAACAAAGTTCTTGTCATGCTGTGCACTACATGGGTTATTTGGAAATACAGAATGAATACACATTAAACAATGTTGTGAGGAGCAGTCAAAACAAGTTACGTTAAAACTTTTGGCTTTCAATTGGATCAGATTTAGATGTTAAAAAAGAAAATTGTTGAATTGTCAAACTAGCTAAGGTTGGTTTCTAATTAAATCTTCTTGCTATTAAAAAAAAATTCAATCACTACCCTAAACGGTAACCCACGGACAGACCTAAACGGGTAGCTGATGATATCCTGAATTGTCAACGGTTTCTAATTAAATCTTCTTGCAATTAAAAAAAAAGTTCAATGACTACCCTAAACCGTAACCCAAGGCGAGACCTAAACGGGTAGCCGATGATATCCTTGAAATTTTCCGCGGGCCAAATTTTTTTTTTCTAATTTTTTTTTGGGCGGGAATTATGGGATGGCATATCCCAAGTCCGCTACCTCCCTGCTGTCTTCTAGACTAATCGATCTTCAAAGACTACATTTGATAATATCATGCATAAAAGGTCTCAACTCATTCAGCTTATCGGTTTCTTATTTATACACAATAAAACCACACACAAAACCTAAACGACTATAACAAAGTCAACACATTTTATTAACACAGACAACCCGCATGCAGTTTAGTCCACCTTCATCTCCGACGACTGAATGCTCTGCGGATACAGAATGTTCTGAGCTCCGGAGATGTCCAGAACCTTCTTCCCAAAAGTGTCATCGCGAGAATCCCCACCAACTGTCGTCATACACATCAACTGATTAATCCACTCCATAGCCTCCGGCCACAATACCTTCCACACGTAACTCATTTTCATCCACCCAGGTTCAGTCACATAGCGTTCTCCTCTAAGAGCTCCTTTCACTATCGACCTTGCACATCTTTCAACTTTCATAACCGGCGACAAGTTCACTTGCATCTGATCATCGTTCAGTATGTCAACAATCAACTTCCGGCGACATTAATCAATAGAAAGAAAAACAATAATAAATAAGAAGCTAACTTACATCTCGAGCATCATAGTCAACTACTAATTTGCCTTCGTGGGAAAGGAATTTGCCTTGAGTAAGTTCAGACTCTATGAATCCAGGAGTCACAACAGTGATTTTGATATCCGATCCGAATTCAACCCTCAACGTATCATAAAACTGTGCTAGTGCTGCTTTGCTTGCCTACATTAATTCATCACCCCAAATATTAATTAAAAGCATTAGATAAAATCACCATTTTGATGCAATATTGTTGCGAATGAGAGACCCTTACATTGTAAATGCTCATCCTTGGAAGAGGAATCCAGGAAGCGGAAGAAGAAAGCACGACGATTCTTCCACAACTGTTTCTCAGGTGAGGAACTGCAAACTTTGTGGTGTAAACCGAACCCCAGAAGTTTATATCCTGTAAAAACCGATAAATTATAGATCGTTCATGATTATTAATTTTAGTTCAAGATCATGCGAAGTTTACCATAACAGGGCGTAAAGTCGTGATATCATCTGCTTCTTCCAACATGCAGACTTGAGAGATTCCAGCGTTATTCACCAAATGGTCCACTGTATTCATCTAAAAGATTAGATCTAAGGCAATCAAAATAATCATACAAATGGTGTTTTGAAATTATTCATAGAATTTGTATATGAAGTATATGTATACATCGATTGAAGTGATTAACAGTTTCATCAACAATCCGTTTGCAGTCATGAGCGTGGGAGACATCAGCGCGGATGACTATAACATCAGGCGATCCTATACGCCGGCACCGGTCAGCTACTTCTCGGAGACGACTCTCTCTCCGAGCACACAGAGCCAAGCAGGCTCCTCTTCTAGCATATTCGTATGCGAGATGCTGCATCGTGAAATTTTAATTTATTGATTCACTTACTTATTATGTCGATGGCTATAATCTAAAATGGAGATATTCATTTAAAGTACCTCGCCGATACCGGAGGAGGCGCCGGTGATAAGGACGACTTTGCCGGAGATATTCTCAGAGATGACGGAATGAAGGATGCCGAGGCAGAATTTGAAGAAGATCCATGGAGGGAGGAAGAGTAACATGGTGAAGAAGGTGAAAGGAGGTGCTACTAGATTCAAGACTCCATTAACCAAATCCATGGCTGCTTCTGTGTGTATGTGTGTGAATAATAGTGGGGTGAAAAACTGAAAATGAAGAAGAGGTGGTGGCGAATGGTGTATTATGTTTGAGGTGATGAAATTCAGAAAGTGGAAGGAGGTGATGAAAATATTGCATGGACACAAGAGAGAGTGCCACGTTGAAGTCTCCTCAAGCGGTGCCACCGTTTCTATAAATTTTAAATTTTATCAAATTCTAAGCTAAAAATATTAGATATAAAACAATAATATTTTTTTCAGATAATTGTTTGAGATAAGATGGAATTCACATTTATCAAAATAATATGCATTAATTTGCAAAAGAGGTCTATGAGTGCTTTTACTTTTCATTTGATTTATTATTTCCATATTCATATCGACTAAATTCACATAAACTTATAAATTTCACATCATATGGTATAAGAAAAAAATAGCATTTAATTCAAAACGAAGATTTTGTTTTATCATAACAGGTTTTTATTTTTATAATTTTTTTTCTATCTAACAATTTTCTATTATTTACAATTTTAAACTTAAATAACTTGTATTTTATAATTTACGATTAAGATCCCTTTTGAAGTTATGTTTTTGTCTTTATATATAAAAAAAAATTTCTTATAATTTTCGTTTTCATTAAATTCTTTAAGATACGCTTTCATGTTTTATTATACGATACGTCTCTTATATACGTAATTTTTTTATTGAAACTTTATTTTAATATTTTTATGGTCCATTTTATATGACGTACCATGATATATGTTGATTTTTGATATTGTTAAATTGTATTCTAAATATGAATTGTAAAGGAGTTACCCGGTAATATATGTTACATTTTTTGCATCTTGCATAATTTTTTATAGTGTTTGTTTTTATTAATTTTCTTAGGATATACTGTCAAGCTTGAACCATCTCATCATTTGTGTCTTTTAATTATTTTGAGAAGCTTCTTTTCCGATAGTTATTCTCTTGCCAGTAAGAACAATTAGCTTTATTTGGGTCATGGTTTGGAGAAATGTCTTGATATGCTTTTCTCTTCAGCCATTGATCAAACGATTCAAACACATTTTTCTCATTGTCTTTGGGAGGAGAAAGTTTTTCTTGCTCGTAATCATTACCATTCTCAATAGCTTTGGAACAAAATTGGGTTGCCCCTTTAATGATGTCAGCTTTAATGGCTCCCAACAGTTCAGAACGTTCCATTAGGGTCACATCGAGAATTCTTATATGAAAGTTCATTATGAACTGACTATACGAATCTAGAAGCGAGTAGAGGACAAAATCGATAACTTGCTCCTTCGAAAATTCGACACTCATGATACCCGGTCTGTCAATATACGATTTCACTTCGTTGACATATGCACACACATAAGTTCATTCTTTGTATTTTTCATGCAAGTAAAGCCTTCGTGATGTCGAACCTTTCTAGCCTCATAAGAATGGAGAGGATAGATGGTTCTAAGTTAGGGAGAGGTGGTGGGAAAGAGATTAAACGATGTGGAGGAGAAGGATGAGGGGAAATAGGAAGTTCATTGTGACTCGACATCTATTAAAAGGTAGAGAGAGAGAGAGAGAGAGAGAGAGAGGGGGAGGGAGGGAGGGAGGGAGTTTAGTTGGTTGATATAATCCTTTAAATAATTACCCAATTTATTTTAAGGTTAGAATCCATATCTTCAATTCTTTTTATGAAAAGGGAAACTGTAATCATATTACAAAATTATTTTAGGTAGATAATTCACTTTACCAATTTCAATCACTATGAAACTTTTATATCTTTGAGATTCAGTGAACCTATTCAATGACATGTTAATCTCGGATTTTCACATCCTATATTTGTGTCTGGAATACCAAGGTCTCACAAATATGATGGAGAACCAACCATGCAACAACAACTAACCCTTGATTATGTCATGAATCTTAAATTCACGTGTCAGTGAACCACACACGCTCCATCAATAAGCCACAACCACAAGTCCACATCACTTTCCCTTTGCGTCTCAAATTTATGAGTCGGCTAACCATCTAGGCTCCATAAATAGGCTCGTAACGAATAATGTTTGTTAATCATGGATTAGCAACTATTCATATTTTCCTAAAATAACTAATAACAAGAATTTTTGTTTTACTACTTATACTTGTTATACTTTCAACGAGACATCGTCATGTCGAACCCTTTCGACTAACGACAATTGACCACACAAAGAAGCGAAGAATGAAAATAACACTCATTAAATGGTCATTTTATAGGTCGTTTCTTTATACCTCTTTTATAGTATGGATTCATGAATGAGACCTAGTCTTGATACGACTAACGATCATTAATTAAACATGTGAGGGAACATGTTGTAACATTTTTTTTTACATATAGTAAAGGTATTATATATATATATATATATATATATATATATATATATATATATATATGATATTGTTGTATAAACCTTCATAATAATATGAGGGGTGAATTTTAATTTAACTAAATTATCTTTAATTAACATTTAATTAATTAATTTTTGAATCCTTATCAATAAATTCATATTAAATAGGCATATTTATCTTCCTAGTTTTATTATTCAGTTTTAACCAGATTAATACAATAACTAAAAATAAAGATAAACCCTAAATTTGAACATATTGCATAAAATTTGAAATTACCAAAAACGCGGCGGCGCATGTTGCTTTCTGTGATCAACATGTATTTTTTTTTTGAATTTCTTCAGTTTTAAATCTTGTGCATATAACAAAATCTTAAGGATCTGATACCACTATTGGGTTTTCTATGCAACTATATATTATATTAAGGAAACGATAACATACAAAAATCATCTTAAGTGTAAATGCACCATAAGATCGAAGTTTTACCATTATAGAAACATACTTTTAAAACTTACATTACAAGCTAAATAAGAAAGGATTAGTATGTTAACCTTTAACAAATCCAATTTGTCCCTTGTAGCTTTGATCTCTTGTTGCTTTTGGAAATACTAGCACACAAAGTAGAGTGCATCTAATGGATCATACCCAAAAGACAAAAACCCTAGAAACTTTAGGAGAGAGGTTAGGATTGGATTTTTGCAGCCTTCCAAAGGGTATATATATAGTTGTGGTCGTAACATGATAACTCTAATTTGAATAAACTAAATGTTAAGATTTAATCTATATTCAAATCGTTTCTTTATCTATTATATGGATTGATTCTGGAAGCCTCCTAAGAGCCTCCCAAAACCGCCACCGTATATGGCTTCTAGAATGTTCCCATTGTTCAACTATTGAACAATTAACATCTAGTCCATGTACCTCTAGATTAATTCCAATTAATCCCAAATTAATTATAATTATTTTCAACCAGTTCGTAATTAACTTATTAACATTTAATTAAATTATTAAACCATTTTCTCAATCTCCTAAAACCATTTCTAGCTATTCATGCTCTTGAGGGCAACCCAAAAAGGACTTTTCCATTATTCCCAAAGTTACACCAATTAGTTATGATATTTGACACCTATTTCCAACATAACTCCGCTAAAGGAAGGTAGGTATCCCAACTCCCACCAAAATCCAATACACATTCCCTAAGCATATCCTGAAGATTCTGAATGGTCTGCTCACTTTGATCGTCGCCTGTGGATGATAATCTGTACTGAAATGTAGTTGGGTACCCAAGTCGTCATAGAACCTCTTGCAAAACCTGGAAGTGAAACGAACATCTTTGTAGGAAACTACATACACTGGGTACCCCATGTCAGGCTACCATCTCCTTGATGTAGATATCAACCAATTTATCAGCTGATGAACTCTCATGAATAGGAATCAAGTGAGTGCTCTTAGTCAACCTGTACACAACGAACCAAATCAAATCAACCCCTTATGTTGTCTTCGATAGTTTTATGATGAAATCCATGACAGTCTACTCCCATTTTCACATCGGAATATCCAACAGTTGTAATTTGTTATGAGGCCTCTGGTGTTCGGCCTTGACTTTCCAACAAGTCAAGCACCTCAACAGATACCAAACAACATCCATCTTCATGCATAGACACCTATAATCACACTTCAGATCCCTGTACATCTTGATAGCACATGGGTGAAATGAGAGCTTCAACTTATCAGCCTCATCCAAAAAATCCAATCAAAGTTTACTCGAATACGGAACCTATACCCATCTATGCAATGTCAACAATCCTCGACTATCATAATCGAATACATGAATCCGCCCCATAATCCTCTAACTCTTCTGATTCTCCTCCTTGAATTCTTCAACATGCGCTCTCTAAATCACATCCAGAATCAGAATCGCAATAGTCAGCCTAAAGTAAAGATCTCGAATGTGTATGCTAGTCGTCTTGCGACTGAACGCATCATCCACCACATTGGCCTTACCTAGGTGGTACAGAAACTCACAATCGTAATCCTTCACTACATCAATCCATATATGTTGCCTCATATTTAGATTTAACTTATCCATCAGATACCTTAAGCTCTTGTGATCCATGTAGATGGTACACCGAACTCCATAAAAGTAATAACGTTAAATCTTGAGGAAGAAAACCACTGCCCCCAACTCTAAATCATGAGTAGGATAATTTACCTCATGATGCTTCAACTGTATAGAGGCATATGAAACAACACGTCCCTTTTGCAGGAGTAAAACTCCCAACCCATCGATCGAAAAATCACAATAGACCATAAAATCCTCGACAAACTTTGGGAGGGTCAACACTGTTGTCTCATATAACTCCCACTGTAAAGTCTCAAAATTTGCATGTTGCTCAGTCCCCCACCAAAAAGTAGCATTCTTCTTCATCAACCGGGTAAGAGGAACTGCAATCTTAGAGAAGTCTTGCATAAACCTCATGTAGTATTCTATTAACTCAAGGAAACTACAAATCTCAAACGGAGATTTCAGAACTTCCCACTGCATCGCTGGCTCAATTATAGCCAGACCAACCACAATACCATTTCGATTGACGAGGTGTTCCGAGAAATGAACCCCACACAACCAAAAC